AACGGCTTGCGCAAACCCATGTAAAACACCGGGTGGGTGCGCATCCGTTTGAGGAGGTTTTGCGTATACGCTAGGCCCCGCTTGACCACAACCTTAAACGGTCCGATAAACCGAGGACGAATCCCCGTCCGGAAGATAGCAGAGGCTGCATGTGTAGGCAGATTTTTGGAGTTTGTTAAACCAGGTCTCCGACCTTGAAGCTTTCTACTTTGCCTCTTCCATTCTCATCTGCATATTCTTTCTGCAGGTCTTGGCTCCAGCCATCGCTTCGCGAACGTGTCGTAGGACACTAAGTCTGGTAGACAAGAAGTCCACGACTTCTTTGCGGATGGTGAGGGGGCTGACATCAGCTAGCCGTTCGGCTATTTCTCCCCCACCACGCCCTGAGCCATAGGATGGCGGCGTCAGTGGGACGCGAGGGTAAATCAGCCCGTTCATGTAGAACGGCGTGTAGCTGGTAGACGAATGCACTGCATTGTTCAGCGCAAACTCTATGAGTGGCAACATGGCGCTCCAGCGCCTCGGCGTCTCAGCGCAGACGCTGCGAAGAGCGTCTTCGATGCATGTTTCACCCTTTCGGTTTGGCCATCGGTCTGCGGATGATCCGCTGTCGACATATCCAACTTGGTGCCTAGCACCTTGAAGATAGTCGACCAAAATTTTCCCGTGAAACGGGGGTCTCTATTATAGAGAATCGACTCTGAGAGTCCGTGTTGACGGAAAACACGATTCACGAACAGCGTTGCTGTACCTACCCCGTCGGTGGTGTTTGGCACCGCCGCCAGATGAGCCATCTTGCTGAACCAGTCGACGAATATTACGACACCCGTGTTGCCCGTCGAACCTTTCGGCAGGTAAAACACAAAGTCCAGACTCATGGACTGCCAGCACCCCGTGGGTACCGGTAAGCTGGCCAGCGACGCAGCTGCATTTGGAGCGGATTTCACCCGTTGACACGTCTCACATGTGCGCACGTAGAAGCTCGTCCATTTGTACAACTTAGCCCACCTATAGTGGTGACTCACAGAGTTGTACGTTTTCTCACGAACGAGATGACCACTGAGTGGCGTGTCGTGAGCTCATAAAGAATGCGACATTTCAAAGCCTCATCATGACGAACTACAATTTGTGGTGTATCCGTTAAATCGGTGCTATGATATAGCAAGCCGTTATTCAACGAATATTGGTGCAATCGTACACGCAGTCTTGGTGACAGTTTCTTGTCCGAGTCTCCAAACTCCTTGCTCTCGAGAGTCCGTAGCAGCGCTATACACATCTCGTCACCCGCATACGCGGTGCGGACCAAATCTGTCACAAGCGACGTTACAGTTGTAACATGAGCAAGCTCATAGTCTGGTCTGCGTGACAACGCATCA